TTTTCAACCAAACCAAATGCAATTTTATTAAATTTTTAACACAAATTCTTTTAACTTTTTAAGACATTTAAGCCTTGCTAAGCAAACAGCAAAATAAATAACCATAACACAAGAAAGTTTAAGAATAAAGTTTCACCAAAGGATTTTTTTTACAAACTTTTAGAAGGAATCGCAAAAAAAAAGAACACAAAAATATTTTTTATATTTAAGAGTAACAAAATTTTTATAAATAAGGAATTTTTTCGTTTTTATTATAAAAATCATAAAAGTTAATCCTTACAGAAACTATTCATGTACATGGATGTGAGAAAAAAAATATCTATTGCATGTTTTTTTTATTTACTCTAATAAATACCAGTATTATAGCAGCAAAAAAAAAATTATATCCCACCAAAAAAAAAAAAAAAATTTATATTTTTTTAAATACCAATTTATTTTTTATTTTAATCTAACCATCACATATGATGACACTACTCTGAAAATAATACTAAATACTAAAATACTATAATTTAAAAACCATAAATCAGACCGCGAGCTCTAAAAATTTTTCCAAAAATAAAATTATGGCGCGTTGATATGGTGATATTTTTTTTTTAATAAAATTATTTTTTAACTCTTACATTTTTATTTTTCATTTATTTTGAAGTTTAATAAAAAAAAAATAAATTTTTTTATCGTGGTAGTTATATGGAATTAATTTAAATTTTACAGTAAACTTATCCTGGCCGTATCAACATGCATTCAGACACTCATAATGAAAAGAAAAACATACAAAAAATTTCAAAATAAAAAATTAATAAATTCAAGTACAAAGCCAATTACATATACACATGTATCTATATAAATGATATATAAGAGCTATAAATTTAAAATATTCTAAAAATAGAAAAATATTCAATAGAAATTTCGGTATCAATAAATTTTATTTTAAGGAAACCTATGAATTATTTTCTCATACAATTGATAAACGCATATTAATTGTCTATATTTTCCAAAAAACAAAACTATTAATAATTAAAAATATTTTTTAAATAAGTCATTAACAACATTTTAACACGAGAGATTTAAAGAAAAGACAAAAACGAATGCAAATTTTTTGCTTAATAAAGTTTTTAAGGCCCTTATTATATTTCTCGTATACCTTGTGCAACGCTGAATTAAAATGAAATGCCACCCGAAAAAAGAAAATACTAGCAATATTAAAAATTAAAATTTATAATCACAATCAAAATGTTAAGCTTCCAGTAAAGTCAATAGTTAAGTCAATAGTCATCTAAAGTAGCAAATCCAATAAGTTCAATTTAGATTCCTAAATTATTTTTGCAAATAAATCAAAAGTTACTGAGAAAAATTCTTGTAATACTACTGCAATGGTTCTCAATCAGATTAATGAGAGTGTTCAGAAACAGCATTTTAAATAATATTTACATGCATATACATTTAAAATAATTGAAGACTAGTTTGAAACTACGCCAGTTTGACAGTTTTAAATGAAACTACTACCTTTAAATTAAAATATTACGGAATAATATGCAATTCTTAATTTTATTTCTCTAAATGACTTTAAGAGTATTGTGCATTAACAAAATAATGACATACATAATTGCGTTACTTTGAATATTTCTTTCAATGAAACTCACCCTTATTTGGTAATGCAGAAAGAAAATAAATATTGAAAGTAGTTAGAGTCACAGAAATCAAACGTACTTCATATTTTCAATTTAAATTTGCTTTTGCTTAACACTTACAACCCAATCATGCTTTAATTTTTATACGATTTTAAAACATTTTAATTATTGAACAACTCCAGGTCCTAACCCTAGCCATAATAAGCTTTAAAATTTTTCTCCTAGTATAAAAAAAAAAATTATAATTTGAAATATCTAAAACAAACCAATTAAAACAAAAAAAAAGTAACATCGAATTAAAATACCGCTACTTGATAAATTATAATCCTTTCAGAGTTTGTAACATCAGGATAACTCTTTTTTTTTTGTATTTTAATAAATAATCTGTACGAAATCAAAATTTTTATACAAATTTCAACAAAAACTGAATTAAATTTATGATTAATGGAATTATAAATTTGCACCATTTTAATTCTAAAAGATTATATTCCATGGAAATCTGATTAAAAAATATTTAAAAAATTATTAAATGAATAGCTATTAGCAATTTTTTTTCCAATGTTACAGCCAATAGCACACAAAGGTTAAAGGTACAAATGCCATCATTGAATTAATTTTTTTTTTAATTTTTCTTTACCATGTAATTTCAAATTTGTGATTCGTTTTAATTAAAAATCTATATACAAAAAAAATCACACTGTAACAAAAAATAATTTTCTAAATATTTGCAAAATATGTTTTATTTGCAGCTACTCATCGAATTGAATTCCTCAATAACTTCGGGTTCCGCTTCCGAGTCGACAAATTTGAAACAAAAAAAAAGGCTGGAACTTGCAATCACAAAGACTTTGAACCGAATATGCATGAATGCTGCGCTAAATAGCTTTCAAAATTAAAATTGCTGAGCACAAAATACAACAGAAGGATGTTTGATCATGCCCCCATTAAAAATTTTTCGCAAAACTGAAAAACTAAAAAATTCCAGTGAATTTTGTTATTATTAATAAATATTAAATTTTGAACAAATATAAAATCCAAAATATATTAGCAACTTGGTCACACCGCAATCTTAAGTACAATTTTCTCTAATTTTTTCTAAATATTTTTTAACCAAATCGTAAGACACAATAATTAATTTATTTTCAAAACTCACAGCTAACATTATGTTAATAAATGAAGAAAGATACACTTAATTTAGAAGACTATGAATAGAAAATTGAAAAAGGAACTCTCTTGTATTTTGAGATATTTGAAATTTTCAGTTAGTAATATCAAAAATCAACAAAAGTAAAAGGAAACTAGGAAACCAAAGAAACTGGAAATATTTTTTGTATGAAATCATAAAAGAAAGCAAATACATTAAAAGGAAAAGGAAGAAGATCCAATATAAATTTATGTATGTACATACATATGTACATATTTCCATATGAAACTGATAATAATATATTGATATGTAATAAATTATCATTAATTTATCGATTCCATTAGGCGCTTAACTTTAATACCAATATAGTAGCACTGATTTCAGTAAGCTGATTTCTTTTTCTGATTTGATTCTTTTATTTTTTTAATGATTGCCATATTGTTTGTATTCCTACACTACATATACGACACTATATTGTATAATAAATATATATATATATATATATATATATATTCATTTATGTAATAATAAACACATTATGTTACAATACTTTAATGATGAAGAAAAATGAAGTGATAATGTTAAAAAGTTTTTACCAAGTTTTAAGATAAATATATTCAACAGACGTTAAGTATCATAGGGAATTTATAATATGAAAAAGGATTTATGTTAACTAATATGTTAAATTAACACTATTAAAGGATTAACAAAATGATAATAGTGAATTTTTATAAATGTTTGCCGATTAACTTATATATTGTATACAAAAGAATAATTTTTAATAATTATTTTACTTTGTATATTATCAAATAAATTATATTATAGAGAAAAAAAAGAGGAAGTAATGTATTCTATTTAAAAACTTCTGCAAAATTAAACTACAAATAATATTAGAAAAGAGTAATATAATTAAACTATTAATATAAGCACAAAATGGAACACAATGCTTTCAAACTATAGCCCTTTTCTAATTAGCTTTTAAATAGTAATTTGCCAATTTTTTGTTTTAAATAGAAAAGTACATGATATTTCGTGTAAAAAAACTTAACAAAAGGAATATAAAATTTTATTAGTACAAAAACGTAGAATAATTAAATTTTTCTATTATTCTAGTAAAATTCATTCAATTTTAGCTTTTATATAATAAATATGAATATATATGTATATTTTTTTTTCATTAATATCTAATAATATTTAAAATACACCAATGCCAACATTTCTTTACCAGAAATTTTTAAGAAAAGTTGCCAAAAAAATTTTTATTATTTTCATAATACTTCTTCTTTCTTGTAATGAAAGTGTAAAATAGATTATAATTTGAACTATGTCTAATACACTTATTTCTTTTCAATCAACACTATATTTAAAAATGTTTTGTGGTAATTTGAAAAGAAATTTAAAAATAATTGGGAAATATAAACTTAAAGCAGAAATTGCTTAATACATTACATGAAAACTCATCATGAATATGATGAAAAATTGATTTCATTTTGCTTATTTGTAAAATGAAATATGTTTTTGGCTCTAAGTTTGTGTAATATTAACGAAATGTTGAAACAAAATATTTTAGACACGTGTTTATTTCATGTGAAGAAAAAATTGCAAAAAAAGAAAAGTGCATACCTTTAAAATAATAATGAATTTATAAATGAAGATTGCTTTTCACTAATTTTCAAATTATTCAAAGCCAATAGTGTTATTTTTATCTGCAAAAATTTCTCTTCTAAAAGAAAATTAACTTTCAAACTTTTAATTCAACATTTCTAAATCTGTATTTACTAATTAAGGCATTTTTAGTAATAATAATATGTGTACTATACACACAAAAACTCAAAAACAAAATCCAAGGCTCTAAAGACAGCTTTTAGAATTAAAAAAAAAATTATGAACAATCAATACTTAATTATATATTGTATAAAAAGTTTGGAAATTTTTTACATTATCAAGCCTTTTAAAATAACAAATTTTAATTCACCACATGTTTGAAACATTCATTTCCGAATTCGATATTCTTAAGTACAACTGCAATCCTTTTGCTTCCAATACGTATTTTGTTCAATACACAATTTTCTGTGAGAAAGAATTATTAAAGAAATAAATAAAGAATCAAAATTTGTTAACTCACCCGTAGTTTCATTTAAAATTGCTTAAATATTATTTTAATTAAAATATTCCATATTCGTATGCATATAATTTTTATTTACTTTGTGTACAAAGTTTTTTTTTTATTTTAAAAAGTAATAATTACAAAGCAGTTTTATTGCATAAGACATTCTTTTTAGTATTATTGTATTTAATATCTTCAAACATTTATTAATTTCTCATATTATAATATTTTTGATGTTTTACAGTATTTATTACAAAAATATTTATATAAAAATCTGATAAACAATTGTTATTGTAAATTATTTTCTTTTTTTGATTGTATATTTTTTTGTCTATATTATTGAATAACTTTTATGTTATTGTACCACTTTACCCATATTTATTTCATAAATTTCTTTAATTATTTGGTATATCTTGTAAAAATTTTTCAATTTTGGTATATATATGTATATGAGCTTCCTTTGGCACAAACCATAAAAAGAAAATTTTATTCGAAATTTTTAAATAATTTGTTAACTTGGTATTTTCAGCATTTATATGTTATTATTAAAAACAAATTCATATTAATTACAGTACATGGCTTCAAATATATAGGCTTATATGTATAACATAAATGTAATATTGGTGTAAGCAAGTTATTAGCGACTTAAAGTAGTCTATACTTTTATTTTTATCAATCCTTACAACGTTTTGCCGGTGGTTCATTTTCATTTGGAGCAATGGATTGTAACATTGAGCAATTGGTATAATTCCCAAATAGAGATAGTAACAGAGCAACACCATATCCAGTAGCACGTTCTCCCTAATCAAAAAAATAATAAAAAATTTTAAAATCAGATGAAAAATATAGAAAAAAAAAAAATTATAAACATTTTTTATTTGAATTTTAATTTAAATCAAAAAGAATCACTTTCAGAAAAAAAGCAATTTTTTTCGAATTTTCTTAAGAAAATATTTACATATCATTTTGAATATAATTAATTTTATAATTTAAAAAGTCATTAACGTAAAAAAATCTTGCAATTTAATATTTGATACAACTTACGCAATGAACAGGTGTCGCCATATCAATATGTATCCAAACACCAGGAAAATCAAAACCTATATGTGCAGCTATAAAAAGTCCAGCACATGAAGACTGAGCATTACTACGATCCTACAAGAAAATAAATAAAATATTTTGTAATTATCAAATACTAAATCAAGTTATATTTTCAAAGTTTGCCACTAAACAAATCTCGTTATCTTTATAGTTGTTTTTTATTATTAACAATTTAATTACCAACCTACTTTCTACTTTTTTTAGATCAAAAGAATAACGAAAAAATGCAAGAATACTCACAGCAACAGAATTTTTCATATCTGCTACAGCTGATGCAAATTCTGAGAAATGCAATTCTGGGCAGTAAACTATCGGTGCTAAAAGGTCTCCAGATTTACGTCCGGCATCGAGTGCTTTAATCTCCCACTCTTCATTATTTGTTAAAATTGCAGCATGATACTTTCCAGTTGCTATTGCCTAAAAAATTTAAATTAATATTATTTTGTAAAATTTTTTAAAAATAATATTTACTTGTGCTCCAGTTAGCGTTGCCATATCAAGAATGATATTGGCTTTTAAGTCTTTTTGTGCATATGCCACGCCATCTGCTAATACAAGACGTCCTTCAGCATCAGTATTATTTATTTCAACTGTACGTCCTGAATATAATGTATGAATATCATCAGGTCTATATTTAGAAACGAATAAAAAAACGTGTTAAAAAAATTGAAATTTTAATGAACATGAAAAATTTCAAATACCTTGTTGCATTTGGTCCAACTGAATTTTCGGCTAAACAAAATACAGCATGCAAATTTTGTTGAAATCCTCCTTTAACTGCACCATAAAATGCACCAAGAATAGCAGCAGCACCTCCACAGTCTCTTTTCATTCCAGGCATGTTTGTTTTTCCTTTAATACTTAAACCACCTGTATCATATACAATACCTTTGCCAACTAATGCAATAGTTTCTGTAGCACCTTCTGGTTCATGTGATAATATAACTAAAGCTGGTGGAACATTTGATGCTTTGCCAACACCATATATACCACCAAAACCTCGATGTAATAATTCTTCGTCACGTATTATTGTCGGAGTCAATGATAAAACATTCGCAACATTTTTTATTTCTTCTATAAAGTGACTTACATTCATTTCATTGCATGGTGTATCAACAATTCGTGCAGCTAAACGTATTCCATATGCCGCTCTTTCTAAACAATCAATATCATCTTCGGATAAAGATTCAGTTTTTATTTCGCCATTTTTTTCAATTACAATAAATTCAACATCAATTTTTTGGGAACCAGCCGTATTACAATTATCTCCCATATTGCTATCAACTATTGTTTCTTCGCTATTATTACAATTATTCACATTTATAATATTATTGGTGTTGTTGTTACTATTGTTGTTACCGTTCCCAGCTCCGCTGTTTCCGCTACTTGCATTAGTTTTTCTTGAAAATAATGGAAATGCTCTAGCAATTGCACATCCAGAAGCAAAAACATCTTGACGTTCACAAACTACAACTATACTTTCATTTATACCAAGAGTTTTACTTTTAACAACACGTGTTATTGCGTGTGCTCGACTATTTGTATTATGACGGGAATTTTTTAATGGCAAAGCAGCTATCGTTGCACAATCCAAATACAAGGAACATGTATCTGTTGCTGGTGAAGGATGTAAACTACTTACAGCTAATTTAAAACAATCTTCAGTTACACGAGGACTTAATTTACATTCAACATGAGAAAATTGAATTAAATTCAAATTACGTAGTTGACCGATTATTAAAACTGGCTTATAATATGGATCACTTTGGGTTAATTTCGGTTGGAATTTTATTTGAGAACCCATCTAAAAATAAAACATAAAATATAATATAATTAATAACTATCAAATATTATTCAATTATTGAATTTATAATGATTTAAGAAAAAAATTAAAAGAACTTCAAAATTAATTAAGTTTGAATGCATTATGCGTAGTAGAAAAAGACAATTAATTAAATGCAAAATTTTCTATTTCTATTTAATTTTCTATTTAATAAGTTTCCTATTAGTAGTAACAAGTCAAAAATTTATTTCCTATTTAATAAGTTGGGATTCTTTTGTCAATGGTATATTCAAAAACCATGCGTAATTTTTTATCGACATGACATTGGTTCAAGTTAAATTGAAAAATAATTACCCATACTTGTAAAATATTTTAAAATTACATAACTGTCGAGATTTTTATAGTTTTTCATATACAAGTATTCTTTAGAAAAATTAGTAAATCGTAAAAAGAATATTTTAAAATATTCAAAACGCGTTGCTTTGAAAATTTGAACAGCGTAAATTGAATCGCTACTCGTAAAGCGACCTCTCGTTTTATTAAAATTATTCACACTCAATTCAAAAATTTTTATTTTAAAAATTAATAAAAATATTTTTAATATAAAATAAATTTTTACAAACTTTATATTTTCTTAAAAAACGATTCTTATTTCCCATTTTTGCTCAAAATTAAAACAAAATATTTTTTTTTTTCAAAATTTCCCTCTTAAAATTTTTAATTCTTGAAAATTATTTTATTAAAAATATTACAAAAATAAAAGTTCAAATAAGATCTACAAGCAAACTGAATATGCAAAATGAAAAATAAAAAGAATTTTAATCTTTTATACAGTTAGCAAAAATTAAAAAGCTGCACCAAAAATCTTATGTTAATTACCGCATAAAACACGAAAATATGTTTACCCTTTAGGAAAACAAAAACAACCTTTAATGAAAATTTACTCACAACGTTATATAGTAAATACAATAAAACCAAATTATAACTGACACAAAATATTGCAATTAGATGGTTTATTTCGGAAGTGACCAAAGTCCATTTTCAATTTTAAAACTCTTTTATTTGTCGAATAGTCGAAATTGAAAATTATACTGTTGTATAAGAAAATAAATATTCTATATAAAGCAAATAACCAGTTAACCGAGATTTTGGTTACTTTGAACCTGAACGATGCATTAAACGTAATAAGAGCTCACTTAAATGCAAGTGTATTGCCTAAATAGATTATTTTAATCAAGATATTCCTCTTTAGTTAAAGATTAAAACTAAGCTAGCAACATTAGTTTATGAACATAAATATGGGGCAGTTCTCATACATTTCACTCAAATGTTACTTATCTATTTTGTTCATAAGGATTGCTTAATTATCAGAAATATGGGCTGTTTCCCAGTGCAAACGACTCTAATCATAAATTCCAAAGCGACATGACGTACGCATCATAAATAATACGTTGCCAACGCAACTGTTTATTATTTTATTTATTTTTTTTTTCTAAGGTTTGATGCACAAGTGATTTTTATATGTGGAAAAATGAATGACGAAAAAATCATTTTGGTTTTAAAATTTTCTTCTTTATTGAAATAATTTTTAAAATAAAGCAGATGACATGACCGTCAAATCTTTGACATACTATGACAATTTTGCCCCATAAACGACTATTCACTGTATGCAAAAGGAAAAAAAGATCTTAAAGAAAATATGAGAAAAACAAAAATTCCTATAGATTAAATATTTATGTTTCTATTTATGTACATAATACGTAACTTTATGTAAATATATATTTTTATTTGCATTATTAAAATACATAAACATACCTACATACGTATAATATTAATATTTTCTTTTTGTTATTGCTTGCTTGTAAATTTTATGAATATGTACACGGACACGGTGTGCAATAATTCTAAAATAAAAACTTCAAGGTTAAAATCAGACAAAATGGCAAAATATTATGTACACGTTTACCCCTTTTGTTATTACATTAAAATGAAAATTCTCTTCTTCTTCTTTACAAGTTATAACAGAATAATATTTTTATTTTTCTCTCTAAATTACAATAATAATAAAAAGATTCAACAATATTTTTCTTAAAAATTTATATACTGATATCCTTCGAGGTTCATTTACTAAAATGAAAATTATGTAAAAGAAAACCAAATGAATTGCCGATAATGAGAAAAAAATGATTAGCTCATAACAATTTAGTTGTGGCGCGAAATTCTTTAACACTTATCCAGCGCTTATTGCCCGGTAGCCTATTAATCGGCTTTTGGTTATCGACGGTTTTTGTCAGTGAGTTACTCTTTTTATAACTTTTTATAACAAAAGGAATAAGCGCAACACAATGCATAGTAAAAATTTAGCCGGTACTGGGCTAATAATAAAATTAATTGGACGCAAAATTAAATTAACGTCAAATAGTTTTTTGGCAAAAAGTTTAAAATTTAATATTGTCATCATTCCATTGTTGGCAACAATTAAACAGTTCTTTTAATAAATCAAAATATTTAAGTAATATCATTCGTTTCAAATAAATATTAAGTATTAAACTTTAAAATAATTTTATCAACACCTTGACTATCACAATACTTGGGCAAAACGGAATCATTTTTTGTTTCATCTGACACAATAAACGATATCTCATTTCTGTTAGAATTCTCAAAATAAACAAGACTTCATGCAAGTTAACGAGTTAATCTAAAAATTTTTGAAATTCATCAATTTACCCTTCATAAACTTCTATCTCATAAATTTTTAAATAGCTTTTTAAAGCATAATTATTGGCCCCTGTCATCATTATCACAAAAAAAGGAATAACAGAAAAGTGAGTTAAAGGTAAAAATTACCTTTCATCAAATAAGTTAATAATAAATAACCGCCACCTTAATTTTTTTTAATGCCACCTAATTTATTTCCATCGACACCAAGTAATGACACCAAAAATTAATGTTAAGTTCACAAAAATGTGAGTGATAAAAAAAACGATGACAGGCGACTTTCCAAGACTATAACTCTTGAACCACCACCCAAATATAATAACAGACAGTTTGATTTATTATTTGTTCAAGAACATTTCAAATTCTAAAATCATTTGGTAAAATTAACAAAAAAACAAGAAAGAGAAACATGCAATAATAATTATAATTTTTTTTTTTGTTGAACTTTTACATAAGTAAAAACTTTTCATCTAAATCAAGTCATTTTTATGGTTGCTTCTCTGGGAAACAGTAGTAATTTTGTGATAAGTAGGGAAAGAAAAAAGTCATTAAAATAATTAAATTGCGTGGTATGGCCATCAGTGCCTTTTTACCAGGACTTTCACTTTTCATTTCAAATTTTTAATTTATTTCATTTTTATTTTTCTTTGTTTTCTTTTTGTTTTATTTGGATTTTTGTATTCTTTCCTTTGATTTTCATTAAAAGAAATTAAAAAGTAAAATATTACTGAACTTGGTAAGTAGTTTTAATAGATTTTTATCTTTTATATCACAAAACAAAAAAATTGGATGAAAAAAAAAGTAAAATTATTAGGAAAATTCAAAATTATTTTTTAACTTTTAACCAATCAATGTTGAATGGAAAAAAGGCTTGGAAAAAGAAAACAAAAGATAAAATTTTTCATATTTTTTTTTTTTGTTTTTTATTTTTTTGTGGAGTAGCTCTTAGTATTTTGAATTACTTTTAAAGCTAATTCTACAATTTTACACTAACAATCAAAAGTTGTCGCTTCAATATAAGTGGAAGTGTTATAAGAAATGGCACGCAAGTATTGTTTCAGAGGCACAAATAAGGAAGATCACGATCAAAATGGAAAAGTGCGCGTATTGTTAATTACCTAATAAAATTTAAAACTGCATATAATATTCAATAATTGATCATGAAAATTAAGGCGTTTAAGAATAATATGTTCACCCTTAAAGAAGGATACCCAATAAAATGTGAGATTTAAGAGATGAAGTACAATGTGAATCATTTTGTTAATCGCAAATGTTTAAATAAAAATTTATGAATGAAGACAAATTTCATCAAATCTAATCGATCGTTTATTCAACCGAGATTTGTTACAGGGCTCTATGTAAAATAACTTTATGTTAATAAGAATTTGTTTAATAAGCACAGTACAAATTTAAATACCAGTGTGTTCTGGACTTAATATTAATGTTAAATTAAAAATATTAAAGGCCATTTGATAAAACGAACCTATTCTTAATTTTAAGTCTTTAAAATTTGTTTTATTACGTTTTATTTAAAAAAAGATTATCAAAGATAAGAAAATGAATAATGAAAAACAAAAAAAAATAAAAACATTTCTTTCTAAATTTATTTGTGAAAATTTAATCCATTAAAAATATTCTCATTATTCTTTTTTTTTTCTTACTTAAATTTTATTTCTTTAGATAAAATTTATTATTTTGATTAAAATTTAGATTTTCAATTCTATATAGGTAGCTATTATTATAAAAACGGAATGGTAGTTAAATTTGATAGAGAAAAATGATGTGATTAGTAATTTTAAAATTATAAATTTAATGTTTTAATTACTTTAATAGAAAAGCTAACGCATATAGAAATGGAATACTTAATAACTTTTACATTATATTCTAATGTTTGTCTTCCGAAACAATTTTTTAGAATTGGTTAAATTCTTTGTAATTATTTAAGTTTCTGTTAAGAAATTTTATTAGAAAATTGTTAACAAATAAGCAAAGAGAATCATCAAAACCAAATTTTAATTAAAATTAAACTGGTTGACCTAAGTAGGTACTACTAGATAAATCAATTGGTTTGAAAATGGTTCTTCAACTCAAGGAAATTGAAAACAGTTAAGTTTATTCATAATTTCACTGTATACACCAGTAAATCAAATATTAATCATTTATCGTAAAATGTGTGATATTAAAATGAAAATATTGCAACATCAAGTAAAAGAAGTCATATTGAAAATTATTTAGTAAAAATTACTAAATAATTATTAATATGAAGCCAAAAGATTAATTGTGCTACTCAACAATTTTTTTTAAGTAGCAGAAACTGAAATATTTAATGCAAAAGAAGCACACATGCACGTACTATATTATCACGTATTATATTATAAGTAAGTCTGGGATGCAGTTTTTCCAACAATTTTTAAATTTCTTGGCATAACTTTTGAAAATTACTTTGATGCTTTCCATTCCTGTTTTAAAATCATATCTCCGAGTGGGTTAAAACGGTCAAAAATCTATTCTAATGCAATAATAGAACATAAAAAGGATCACTAATATAATCGAATAAAAAAAAAAATTTTAATTCTTAATCTAGAGTTGGAAAACAAATTATTTAACAATTAAATTTCAATCACTTTTCACACTGAAACGTAAATTACAAAAACATATTCATTTTTAAAAATAAAAAAAAATTAGGGAAAATAGATAAAAATTTAAAAATAGCTTTTAATTATATCTTTGTTAATTATATCTTTGTCTTAATATCTTTGTTAGTTTAAGAATTATCTTTTGAAATTATCAAAATTTTTCGCAAATTATTTCACAAATTCAGTTGGAAGTTATATAGTAACCTGGCAAGTTTCAATTTAAAATCTAAAGTTCATGTTAATGTTGGACATGTTAGCATATGTATGTCCCTTCAAAGCCACTTGCAATAAATGATAAGGACGGGAAACAAACTTATTCCAAATTGAGACTTCAAACGATTTTAAAAACAAATAATCAAAATCTAAAAATATTACAAAATTAGAAGTTTTGGATAAGAAAAAATTTATTTGATAAAATTTATAAATTTATAAAAATTGATAAACTTAAATAAATAAAATGATGGCGAAGTTTTATTATTATTCTTCACATTTCGTAATTTTGAACAAATAAAAAAAAATTTTAATTTCTTTACCATTCTCTTCCCAAAAAAGCCCTCCATTTCGTTCGCGTATGTAATTAAAAGATTTAAAAATCACACAATTTATTACTTTTATAAGCAACAGTTCATGTTTACGGCAGAAATTCAATTGGATTATTACTTTTCATTTTAAACCTATTTATATTATATTTATGGTTTATGAATTTATTTATTTGAAATTTCAGTTTTATCAAAACGAAATAAAAAAAAAATTAAAGGTTATTATCACATAAGGTTATTATTATTACCCAATCGAAATCGAAAATCAAAATTAAGTCAATATCAAAAAATATTTATTAAGATTTATAAATCATTTTCAATATAAATATAGTAAGTACATACCATCGTGCTATTAAAACGATAAGAAACTCTCTTAGTTATAAAAAAATGAAATGATCGTGATAACATTGTGTGCACCTATTTAATGCCAACCTAATTCATAAACACACATAGAGCAAAATAATTCACGTGATTGAAATTTAAGTTTAATATCTGCTTTATGTTTTAAAATAGTACTTGAATGAATCAATCTCAAATGTAAAAAAGAAATCATCAGCGAGTCTTTCATATTAATATTTTTCTATTTTTTCATATAAGAAAATTCTTATTAGCATTTCTTTCAACTTTTATCAATTGAATGTTTTATTTATGGTAATGATTTTTGTTTAAATGTCGTAAAGTCGCCGCCTGATAACAAGAAAACCTTAAAAAAAAATAAAAATGTAAAATATATAATTTTAATGAAAGCGTTTATTGCCCAATAAAAAAATAATTAAATCATTAATAACATTAGCTTTGTCTAGCAATTAATTAAAAGTTCACTAAACTTTTTAATGCAGACATTTAACAAAAAATTAGCTGAAAAAAAGTTAAAATAGCTAGTTTTTAAACAAAAAAGAATACCAAAACAGCTATGATTGGATATTTTTTATGCATGCATTTTTAAATTTGGCAAGTTGGTAGGTAGTAGGTACTCAGTATATGTTATCCATAGAAGCGTAAATAACGTTTGCCGTTTAATGAAAAAATTTTACAGTTTAAAAAGTCGATAATCCAATATTAAGACCAAACAATTTGAATAGGTAGGTACAGATACTTAAGCTTTCATCTTTTAATAATTTATAGATTTGCAAATATTTTCAATCAAATATAAATGTGTAAATCGTCGACTATCCAATTAATTTCGAACTAAACATAGTCTCATAAATAAAAGTTCTTATAAGATTACAATGCTTATGATTATCTACCTAAAAAAATATAACATTAAATTCAAAGTTAATGGAAATGTGCAAGTGCTACAAGCTCATAAGCTAAAATAACTGTTATAACACCATTTTTATTCCAAATTCTATAATATGATGACTATGTTAAAAATAGATTCTATAAATAAAATGAAAATTCATTATTCAAATTTAATGAAGGCTTAATTCTTTATTATGTACATATTTATAACTATGTATAACTATTTATAACTATGTATATATTTCTATAACCAGACAAAGAAAGGAATAGCATAAAAAAGCTTTTAAACATTTTAAATTATTTACTTGAATATGCTATTCATGACAATTTAATTTAAATTTTTCATATTCATTTATGTACACATAAATTAGCAAATATGCAAAATCGGCATTATAAAAACTAAATACACATACTTATGTTAAAAGTTTGGTACGTGGGTAATTTTTTAGTTGCTTTACAATATTTGTTCCAAATTTTGAAAACTTACCCTTAAACTTGCTTGGTAGCTTATTCGAATTCAATATATTAAATAAAGTTTAAACAGTAGATATCAAAATATAGTATATTTAACAATTTAATTTTGCATATTAAAAAATAAGTTTATAACCACCAAACCACTTCTTACTTGCCGCAAAACTTATACAAGTTTTATTACATTAATTGCCAAGTAAAAATGTCAAAATTAAATTTTGACATTTCAGAAAATGACATGCAAAATAATTTGTAAAACACATCATAAATAAAGTAAACAATAACGTAGTAGTTCACAATCATTTTTTTGTAATTTTGTCTCCAAATTCACAATTACGTTATACTACTGTTTATTTTTTAATATACCTTGTCCAGACTATGTATGTGTAAAATAGAACAAAAGCGATGAACAGCAACGGCAGACAATTTCCGTTTTTAACATAGAATAACAGTGGAACGGCAAAATCAACTATTCAGTATTTTTCACATAATGTAACACACACATGGAAATAGACGGTATCAACAAAAATCATCAGTTGCAAAGTAATATTTCCGGCTTCTTATCGTCTTCGGCTAAATTCGCGGCGGTAATTTCATTTGATTTTGGTCAGTCTCATTTATATAATATGTATATTGTATTTGCCAGTATTTAAATTAAATAATAAGTAAGCAGTAATAGTTTAGGTCGAGTTTAGAAAAAAATGTGTATCACCAAATTTTGCTATTCTAGGTCAATTTGCACTATTAAGTAAAAAACCTTTATTGTTTTAAATCTATAATACAAAGAATTCATTATAATACAAAGAATTCCTTAGTAAACTCTCAAGATGCAATATGTAATAATAGAAATAAAATTATTGTTTCTTATAAAAGCTCTATAAAAACTTAACATTTTTGCTAATAGTTTATAAATAATAATAAACTACAATTTTTATAAATACGGCCACACTACGTTGAAAAAACCAATACTTTTTATTTATGGCAATACCTAGTTTGTCAGCTGTTTGAAAAAAAAATAAAGAAAATCAAAACAAAGCGAAACATTTTGGAAAGTTTCTGGAATAATTTTGTAATTTGGTTTAATGAGTTTTTTAGAATAATAGCGATGTATAAAAGAGACACAGAAATTCGCCATTTATCATCCACAGATGTATATAAACTAGGATTAGAATTAGAACAATCATGGAAAAAATTAATGAGAGTAATTCCAAAAGATTTGTCCCAAATAAAAAGTTCAGTAAATTTAGCTACTCCAGGGGGTTTTAAACAACACACAATTGAACCTATTGTATCAAAATATACCAGTGATCATATCCTAATGGTTGAAAAAGCAAGTCGTGATCAAAATCGTTTGTCCGCAGAAATCCTTCTAGAGGAGTGGGGCACTTCGGGGAGAATTAGGCCTAATGTTGGAAACTTATTAGATATTTTGGTTAAAGCTGAAATATATCGTGCTGCGGATTTTGTAGCAGTACATTTTCTTAATGGTGAGGCTTTCTGTTTTTTCATTATTGAATATTTTAAGTAGCTACCTATATTATTTTAGAATCCCCACCTCAACGGCCACTATCTGGACCAGCGGCTAAAATTGATATTTCCATTCCATTACAGACTGAAGAAATAAAGAAAATTGAAAGTATATTGAATGATATCGGTGTACCAGGAACGCAAAGCCTAAATCAAAATGCACAGCTAAGTAGTGAAATAAACAATAAAGACTATTATGAAAAATTCAAAAATGATGAAAAGAATTTAGGTATAGAATACAGCGATTTTATAAAATTTTCTTCGTCTACAATTCCATCAACATCTCAAAGTGATTTTTTATCACAATCGGCAAACATTCCAAATATTTCTGAAATTATTGAGACTAAAAATGAATTGATTCTACACCAAAATAGTATGTATAAAAATCATAATGAAAACGACGATAATCAAGAAAATAATGAAATATATCAAAATGGACAATCTTATGAGAATATGGAAGGTGATGAGGATGATGATGATAATATACCAATTTTAAGCGCTTTAAATGCTCAAGATTTGTCAAATGATGAACAATTTCCTGATTTAAGTATTTTAAATGCCGAAAGTAATAATGGAAGTGGTAGCGGTAATGGTGGTGGTAACGGCAATAACACTGGTGAAAATACCTCAAACAACAGTCGTTCGGGTAGCTTTGGGAATTCATCAAGTCTGAGTACAAATACTGATGATGGCAGTAATATTTTATCAAATTTAAGTATATTAGATCAAAAAAGTAATGATGATTCTAGTTTAACTAATGTTACTGATACCAGTGAGAATATAAGTTTTGAAAATGATAACATTAATCAGACGAATTCAAGTGAAAATGCTACAATTGAAGTTTCTATTAATGAAACAACAAGTTCGATAATTGATTCAAGAAATAATGTTCCTTGCTTGAGTGATTTAAATATAACTGAATCGTAACAATCTAAACAATTTGTTTTTAATACTACTCTTCAAGCTTACAGTATACAAAAATTTAAAATGTTTTTTTTTTATGTTCTCATTTGTTTCTGTGGATATTCATTTTTAAATTTTAATTTTTGAATATTTTTAAATGTGGTTTTAATACAAGTACTTAAGAAAAATTTATTAATTTATTATTACAATAAACTGTTCAACTGAAAAGCATTTAAAATGTCCAATATTTTAATTTTTACTATTTGAATAACAATTTTAAAGTAAAAATACAATAATTTTTTAACTAAATTAAGAATATTAATATAAAAATACATTCACCCACGTTATATTATTGACTATTGTTTTTAATATAGAAAAAATATATATTTACTTTTTTTTTGCAATGTCAATTTTACAGAAATTTTTTTATACTGGCAAATTTCCAAAAAAAATATAAAAAGTTGTGAGTAAATAATGAAATAATGTTGTTTTAATTTTTTCGTTTTTTTTGAGTTATGAAAATTTATTTATGTAATTTTATATAATATTGTGATGAAAAGAAATGTTTAATTTATTTAATTAGCCTATTCATAAAATTTAAATCAATTTTAATTCATTATTTTCGAATATTTGAACCAATTGTGAAAGACTTGAATTTTGCAAATTGGAGAAAGTTTAAATCACTATAAACTTGAAATTGCTTGAAATTGTCGAATTAAAACATACATACTATAAATCTAATATTAAAATATTAGATTTATAATAATGAAATAAATCTAATATTCAAAAACATTCTAACATTAGCAAGAAGACAATAAATAATAATTACGATAAATTTGTAAATTTTTTTGCAAATTAAATTCAGAAAATTTACTTAATAATCTATTGCAAATTTATCTAATATAAATCTAATAGTTGACCTCATCCCACGCTCATCTTAATTCAAAATAAAATTTTTCGGTCATTTGCTGCACCAGTAACAAAACTCAAAAAATGCGATTTTTGAATTATTTATACAGAAATACGCACTTAAAACATTTACTTTTTGTGTAAAAACGTCAATTCCAACGCCAACTTGAAAATTGCCGCTTGGAATAATTTATAAAATAATACTAGAACCACAAGAACATACTAATTCAAAAATATATGTATACAAATGTGCAAATATTGAGTTATGTCCGTGTTGTAGCAAATGAGCATATTATGTATACAAATATATATAAATTTTATTATTAAAGACTTGCAGTCTCGAAATTCTCTTCATTGAAATTTTTATTATTAATATTTTCTTAATTTATGTGAGTATACCTACCCCCTTATCAAATCAACTTATTCTCTAACATAAAATTGTTTTCCTCCTAAATGAAAATTTATTTTCCAAAAAGGTCGTATAAACACAAAATTCATCACGATTCATCTTTTCTCTTCGCAAAAAAATATAAATTTAATTTTAGAATTTATAATTTTAAATCAAAAGAATAAAACATTGAGAGAAATTTTTTGAGATTTTCATCGAAAAAATCCATAATTTCATTTTAGTTGATTTTCATCCGTCATTGATATTTTAAGAAAAAGTGAAAATTTACACAAAATTTTTAAGAATAATTGCAAAAATATAAAATGTTTAAAACTTCTCAGGATATAAAATTAAAAATTCATACTACAAATAGTAGCGATAATAACGGTATAGCTGGAAAATATCGCCGTTCACCGGATATTGGTAGTATAGTAGACGTAAATAAATTTTCTCCTATAATTTTCCAAACATCCATACGTACATATGTATGTATACAAATTAATATAATGCGCCCAACATTTCTACTCGTTATAATGAACTTTAAAATTTAATTTGTTCCTATATTTAATATTTTTGAATCATGCTATTACGGCTATTCTAAATTTAATTTTTGTGTATATAAGTTCAAGGTGTATAAGAGAAAAGTGGTTTTGCTTTTTAATAATTTTGCAAGATTTTTCCTTTGAAATAGTGCCAAAATTTAATTTGCTCAAAAATTGTCATAACAGAAAAAAAAAATCTGTTTTGTAAAATAAATAACAAAATTAATTTTATTTAAGCATTGGAGGATGTCTCCAAAAGCATATTGAATAAAGTTGAACTTTAAAAGAATAAAAAATTATATTTTCAAAACATGGTCTTATTATACCAATAGTCATGAAATAGTCTGAATGAACAATGGACCAAAACAAATTCACGGCATTTTTTGCAAGAAATTTTAATTAAATCTTAATGCCTGCTGTAAAATTTAATAATAATCGAATTGAAATGAATAACAATAAAAACTTTTTTTTAAAAAATTTTAGATGTTTATGAGGATCCAAGCAAATTATTTATTTCTCCAGAAATTACTGATGTAAGTCGAATAGAAATACTTCATTTTCCATCTGAACCAGTTCCAATAGATGAAGAAGTTGATTTTATAATTAAAAGAAATGGTGCAAAAGGAAACTTTGAAGTTAAAGTATGAACAATTTAAAAAATTAAAGTAAAGTTTATTTAAAAAACAATTAATATTTAAGGAATTTTACTTGTAGGTTGAACATCCAAATAATGGATTAAGTAATGTTGCCGTAAAAGATGTTGATCCAGAAAGAGTACGTGTTCGTTTTACACCAACTTCAGAAGGCTTATATAAAGTTCATATAAAATGTAACTGTCTTAAATGCCCAACAACACCATTAACAGTTTATATTTTTGCAAAAGATATAGATCATTCAATTGTTAGTGGATCTTCATTAAGATGTTTGTATTCTATTGATTTTGTTCTCTTATTTTGGTTAATGATTTGAAACTTGTTTTTAGTACCATTGTTTACATCTAATTCAAAAAAAGTTACAATTCGTGGTGATGGTATTAAAGTAGTTAAATTAAATACAAAAAATGAATTTATCGTTGATGCTTCATTAGCTGGAAACAATATTCTATTTGTAGGTATTTTAGGACCCAAAGGACCCTGTAATGAGGTATGTGTTAAACATATGGGTAGGAATATATATTTAGTATCATATTGGGTTCAAGATCACGGTGAATATTTAATTGCAGCCAAGTGGGGTGATGACCATATTGTTGGATCACCCTTTTATTTAGTAACAGATCATATAAATTAGGAATAATAAAAAAATTATTTTAAGATTTTGAATATAAAAGTCATATTATATTTATGTAAATTTTAATATTTGTTTTTTGTTTTTTATGATTTTGGTTAGTTATGTAATTATATGAACTTACTTAATCTACAATAATTTTTATAAGTATATATGTATATAATAATAATTATTTGTATGTTTTTAGTATTAGCTTTGATTTTTAATACCAAACTTTTGTTTTCTTTCCCTAAATTTCTTACAAAAAGTTTGCAATTCGAGAATATTTAAATACAAAATTATGAATAAATTTATTAAATAACATAAAGCTTAGAATATATAATAAAGTTACTTTGAAATTAAATAAATTTAAATGCATATTATATTTTTATCCTATTCTATAAAAATTGGAATCGATAATTTTAGAGGAATATGCACGTTTATTTTTTTTTTTTCAATTTATAGGAAAATTTAATTTTAAAATTCTTGTTAAGAATTGCATTAAATTATACTAAAATATATTTTTGTAAAAGAACAATAATTCAAATAATAAATTTTTTTTTAAAATTAATAACTATAATAAATTTATTTTGAATATAAAATTGTTTTATTTTAATGTGCATTGTGACTTTGTCTTAATTTATTTGGATCATGATAATGTGATGCCGTTTGTAATGAAGGATGTTGTGGTGGAGGGAAACATCTAACATGTTCGACGTTAGACCCCTCGCCTTCACTACTTTTAAGATATTTATTTAATATTGCAAAAATTTGTGAATTCAGTACTTGAAATCGTCTTATTCGATCAACCATACGTTTCAATTTCTAAAAAATAATAAATAAGGACGTTTAATTCATAATTAAAAAAAGAGAATTATTAACTTACAATTCCTTTAACATCTTCATCTTTGCCATCAACACGTTGCACTCGTAAAATATGATAACAAAAATCTAAAGCTTCAAATCTCCTTTGCTGGCCTAATAATATTATCATAGCACATCCGGCCCAATTGAGTCCTTCCCCAAATAACTCTTCAATTGTATACTCGGTACCTTTTACTGGAATACAGTAAACAAATTGTAATGCTGACCACAATCTATGAAACTCAGAACACTCATCAACATGCATAATTCCATTAGCAGGTGGTGGTCCGGCCCACACTGGATCATCTAAATATGATTTTATTCGATTTAAAATTACTTCAAAAATGCTAAGTCCGCAACAAAGTCTTTCTCTTGTCAATAAATCTCCTTCTCTTGCAATCATTGCTTGCTAAAATATAGCACTTTTGATTTATTTCTTTTTTAAAGATAAAATAATTAATGTTACCTTTGCATTTCCGATTTTTTCAACATTAGAAACAATTTGCAAATTTGCAAACTGAGCCTCCAAACGTTTTTGTTTAGCCTCTGGTTTTTCATTATCTAAAATTTTAATATTTTAATTTTAAAATACATGTTATGGCTGTCTTCTTATAACGAATTGTAATTTACCTTTGCAGTATGGTCTTGGGAAAATGTTTTGGAAAAGAGCTGCATGTAGTAAATCACAGACCTCCTCTTGCGATAACGCTTGCTCAATTAACATACAAAATATGATACTATTTCCAAATTCTCTAAATAATTGAAACATTTCTGTTTTTGCATCAGGATATTGCACAATATCAATTAAATGAGCTTGATAGTAGCTTAAAACACCAGGCGAACCGTATTCAGCTCTTGGAAGTTTACAAGACTAAAATATAGGAAATTAATAAAAGTTTTTTTCAAAAGCAATGTTTATATTACTTTTGGCATTGCACCCATTAAAGTTTTCGTGAACTGTAAAAGGTTTCCTTGTATTAATGGTTTAACAATATCTTTTAAAATTATGTCCATAACAACAGCAATTCCTTGATAGCCAAGTAATCGGCACATAGCATGAAAATGTGGTGATCCAACGAATCCAGTGTATTGTCCGTATTGTGTAGAATAAGCTGCATTTAATTGTTTCGATCCCCATAAATAATAGTGAGACATTTGTGGAGGTTTGTCTCTTTGTATAGGTTGTACAAAGGAAATATTGGCCTTACTGCGCACAAACCTTTAATATAATTATTTTGGTTATATAATTAAAAAGTAACAAAAATTTATATGTTATAAGTTATTGTGAACAATGATTATTTCTGTACCTGTTTGTTGCTGCATTGTAACAATAACTGGACAAGAAATCATAATTAAGTTCGACGAATACATGTAAAGTTATACGCCCATATGGAGCCAATACGTTATGGTTGGCCTCTTTTACCATATGCTCAAAATTATCTAAAGCAAGCCATTTACTTAACAATTTGTGACAAATACGATTTACTTCTAATAAGCCTTCCAATTCAACAATTCCAGTTATATCATTCCCTTCGAATCGACTTATAGCCAGTTCAATACTTTTGTGCATGTTTGCGTTAATACGCTGTGTGATTAATTTGTTCAAATCAATTGAACGACCTGAAATATTGACATTCCAAATAAATTATAAAAAGGATAGCGTATAATTTTGATTTACCTAATAATTGAACATGTCTTTGTTTCAATAGAGTTTCATATCTATTATTTCGGGGATAAGATTGGAAATTAAAACCGAGTACTTCGCATTCAAGTCGAAAACGTTTGTCCAAATAAATGCTAATTAAAATATATTTACAAAATTACAAAATTAAGAATGTCATCTTAATGTTCTAGAAATTACCTTCCAGCTAATTGTTTATAATGAGCAAAAATCTGTTCGCTGAGCTTATAAACAAATTGGTCGAAACACAAATTAACTTCCGCTTCAACCTCGTCGTATAAAAATTGTTTTCTGAAAACTGTAAGTGCATAATGTGCTGAATCATTATACAAATCCAGAGGATATAAAACGAATCTGAAACAATTGTAAAAAAATTAATTAAAAAATTAACCACAAAAAAATATAAAAAACATTACTCCATCATTGAAGGTTCTTTGGTCTGCAGTATATGATCTGTCAATATCCAAGGCATAGACATTTCAATAGGGAATTGAATTCTTTTTTCCATTGTAATTAAATCATTACATTCTTCATTATGTTGATGTCTCACCATGCACTTATTTACTTTTCGTCCCATAGTCATTTCCAAATAAAATTCGCGATACCAAAGTTGTGATAAATCACAACATTTTTGCAATGATTCACTGAAATTTAGCAAATAGCACCAATAAAAAGATGTTTTATGAAACTGGTCGATTTGCATCAGACAATTCCCGTCAATATCTTTTCGGAGGGTTCGTTTTCCCCCACTTTTATCTGCAATTAGCGACTCCAACATTGTTCGAACCATATATAATTGAGTTGATGACGGACCGACATTTAATCGCGGAACGTGTATACGAAAGCCACCATCAGGATCTTTTTTTCCTTTTAAAGCTGGATCATCTGAAGGTTCAAAACCTTTTTGCCAATCAGCGCTGGTTTCTCGTACCGACATTATAATACTTCTTATCAAATCCTTTTTATTTTTTATAGCTTTTCTCATTGGTTCTCTTAAAGAAAGTTGAACGAAGTCTTGTAATTCAGCATAAATATTTCTACGAATTGCCTCGCATAATACTGTTTCTATACGTGCCATTAGAACCTGTAGACCTTTAATCATTGCAATTACTTCTATGAGAGCAAATTTCTCTTCTTCAGTGTAATTATATCGTGTAGCTCTTTCATATTCCTCAGCTTCTACTGGGCAATCTTTATTTTGATGGTGGTCGGTAGGGTGTAATAATTTCCATGAATAAAGTTCTGTTACGACACTTGTCCACTCCGAAAGAAGTTGTAGCCCACGTAAAGCTAAATCAGAAGTAGCCCTATTTTCAGCATCTGTTGGATTATCCTTGACAGTTGTTGTAACTTCATTAGTGTAGCGTGCAAGCTCAGATATGTATTTAACATGATCTTCTCTTATTTGGGGCAAGTGAACCATTAAGTCGGCTTGAGGACTTATTTGACTTGAACTAGATAGTGGCCATTTGCTTGCGTCAAAATGCTTACTTCGTTTTATATAATTAAATGGGGCAATTTGCATGTCTCCAAACAATGGTACAACTTCTAAGTTCTTAAAAATTCGGTCAATTCTATCTAAACGAATTTTCTTTTTTTGATCCAATTTATTTATATTGCAAATATCACTATCCATTAAAAACAACCCGAAACCCATAACTTTTACCAGCATATGTTTTTCTTCTGGAGTCATATACATTTTTGTTTCAAACATGTGGACGCAAATGTTAACAACATCTGATAATAAATCTTCATATCCGGCTATTTTTTCTAAAGTATCTTTAACTGTGTCACGAATTTTATTTTGCGTTGCCAAAAACATTGATAAATTTTGTGATTCTTGTAAAGTATGAGAATCAGACATTACTTTTAAAAATTGTGCTGCTCTTCTGTATGTACTGTAATCATTTTTAACACTAGATTTCATATTTTTCAATTCGTCTAAAACTGCGAACATATTTATGAATTTTCCAAGCGTTAAAAGATAAGCCTCAGACACAAAATCTTTTCGTTTTTCTGCATGACAAAGACGTTTAACTTCACCAGAAAATGCTTCAATTGCCTTACGCTAAAAACAAACATAAACTTTTCATATACAAACTTTTTTTAAAATAATTATTAAAATTTACTTGAAAATACATAAAGTTGAGTAATTTATTTACTTCAGGTCCTAAAACCTCTACAGTTTTCTCATAAATTTCAACACGATTTGGTTGTTCATTTGATTTGGGTTGTGGTATTGCTCTGGAGCAGCATCTCCAAGTATATAACATAACTGCATGTTTTTGACCTTCTTCCAGCAATATATTAAGGTTAGCATGGGTTGTAGCTTCTTCTATATACTTTGCAATGCCAGTAACAAAACCATTCCGATCCTCAAAATTTGTATCAAAATTTGCTCTATAAATTACAGAACATGGTTGTGCTTCAATGCATGGTTGCTCATCTGGCAATGATAGTTCATCCAATACTTCAACATTAGAGAGAGCATCAGCTAATGTGATTTTTTCAGTCATATTTGTTCCTAAACATAAAAAAAAAACAAAAAACTTCTTCAAAAATCAGCTATGATAAATTGTGTATGGTTGAGCATGATAAATAGATTATCTCAATTTAAGTGGTTTTTTGAATTAGAGAAAATTTTTTAGCAAGTGTTTCCTTCCAGTTTTATGATTTTCATTTTAAAAATATTGATTGAATCATTCAGGAAGTATGTTCCTTTAAAAATCTGTTAATAAACTACTTACTTAGTCTTTAAATTAGTTTATTACATACTTAACAAAATTAGCTTTTTTGTTATTACCTTTTCAATTTCCAATTTTCGTTATACTTTTATATTTTCATTAGACAAGGAAAAATCTAATTTTTTATATCAATAAAATAAAAAATTACGGAACGCCCTTCTCAAAATATTAAAACATTTGTCATAATTCCAAATGACATCTTCGGTTATTTGACATATTCAAAAATTTACACTGCGGACACATTTTGCAACACAGGAGTCATTTATAACTAAGTACTATATGTGCGAGCTACTAATGACGATAAGTTACTAGATGTGACACGGCATTATTTTCAAATTGCAGCACAGAATTTAAAGTCTTAACCGTACTTAGATACGTAGATTTTTCAAGTAATAAAGTTATAACAATTACTATTTTACTGATTTAATTTTCATCTGTAACGAATTGTAAAGAATTTGATTTTGGAAACAGTAAAATTATTTCATTAGAAAAAAAATATTTTAACTTTGTTTCATAATCTTTTGATGCATCAGATATTATTTTTGTAGGTTATTTGCGGATATGCTCTACGTCAGTATGAGTGTGGACCACTTGAATTTTTTACATAAGAAGAAATGACATTTTCAACCGATTTTATTGATTGTTTTGTTTTGAAAAATAATAAATTTGTATGGAATTTTATGTACCTATGTATTTCTCTTATCTATGACTGAGTTCTTAAAATTTTTTTTGAAAAATTTTGAAAAATTTGAATATTTTTTTTTTTGGCAAGCGGAATGGTGTGCCGTATTTTGAATTTGAATGGGCCGCATGCTTCCCACGGGATACACTTCGCCGACAGCTGCTTCAGAATTTCGCCTAACCAAGCATTTTCGACTGTTGTTATTTCTCTTATGTTGTTACTATTATCTTGGTATGGTCATTATTTTGAGTTTATTATATTATATAATTTTTTTAATTTTGTTCGTAATTATTATTCATTCTTGACCTAACTCCATATTATTTACCATTGCAATCTAAAAATCCCCTTTCCTCTCTATAAATGATGACGCTTCCTGCTTGCAATTATGATAGTTGCTTGTTTGCGACTATGTGTTGTTTTATTTTGCTTTTTTGGAAATATACCTCACACTTGTTTTAATATTCTGTGCAACTCTAATTATCTGATATAATATTTTATTATTGCTTACGTAACACAGCTTTTTTGGCAATAAACTGGCAAAACATATCCATATTTTGTTTTACAATCCTTTGTTTAGGTTTTAAATAATTGTTTGATAACGCTTTCTTTAAGCAGGTTGAATTTAAAAGCAATTTCAACAAATTATGTTTATTTCACACATTCTTTAATATTGCGATAAAAATGTTTTTGAATATATGTCAAAATGAGTTCTGAAATTTGCTTTTCTTTTTCCTTAATGTTCAAAAATTAAAATAAAATTCAAAGCGTTAATAAATAGAAAAATCTAAGTATTTTTTTAATTTTTTAAAAAACTAAAATTTTCAAATTATAAAAATGAGCTGTGCTGACACCATGATTGGTGTATCAATGGTTGACGTACGTTTCATTTCGTAAACGTATTTTAGCGATAAATCCATAAGTCATGTAAACACATGTATTCGTAATGATTAGAGTTCAATTTACTTGGCTTAAAATATAACGAAATGTCATTCTTTTAAATTCGTTAAACAAATATAAATGACGTTTGATTATGATAAATAATTTGTAAATAAAGGCGAATCTTATTTGTTTATGAGCAAAGTCATTTTTATTTACTTTTAAATTTAATTAGTTTAGATAAAAGCTTTTCAATTGAATATTTTAGAATAAAATACTTACTCATTTTAACGTAATTGAAGCCATAATGTTAATTATAATAATAGTAAAATAATTGAAAAAAAAACTAAAAACATTTTTTTTAAGAAATTTTGAAGAATAAGTTAAAAAAATTGGGATTTTATAATGCTTTTCCAACAGAGTTCAAATGCGATATAATTTTAATTACATTTAAATAAATAAAAACAAAATTTTAATCACAACAAAAGTTCATTGGCATGTTTATTTTGTTTATTTTTAGTTCAAAGTTCACTTTTTAATATAAATGTTTATGTTTGTTGATATGTGTGCAAAAAATACACTTAAAAAGGCTACAATAAAAGAGGTTAAGAAGTAGATAATTAGCTAGCAGAATTATTACGTTCACTTTTTTATGAGTTGTAAATTAAAATTTTTGGCCTATGGCTTTAGTTAGCTTTTGGGCATAATAAAGAAGAGAATTCGGTCTGTACGCGCCAAAATAAAAAAAAAAATTTATCATATTCGATTATAAAAAAATTGCTAAAGAACTTACCTAATTGATTCAGTGCGTAAGTACTTACTCAGTTCAATTAATAAAACAAAAATTTAATATGTCAAATATAAATTCGATTTAAAATAGAAGGTATTGGAGCCTTCTAGCTAGGGCTAACTTCAAGCTTTATTCTCTTATTTAAAACTTAGAAATAAAAAAAATTAATTATTGTAAATATGTGGATAAGCATGGAGGAAGTAAGATAGGTAGGTAGGTATCTAATTAGGTATATATATATCTACCTATCTCCATGTATGGCTACATAGAAAGACACTTACGTGTACCTTAGCTTAAGTTGATTTTTGTGAATTTTAATTGTCTAATTTATTTCATATTTTAATCGTTTTAAATATTAACTAAAATTTATTAGCTACGTTTTCTTTATTATATGACCTTGATCGTTTATATGTCAATAGTTTAATATTAAATGAATTTTTATTATTATTAGATCAAATATAATTAATTCAAATTTCAAAAATTCTAATTTTAGTTAAAATAGAATGACAAATCGTGATCGAATTTATTTAGTGCAAGATGATGAAAATTTATCTACATTTCAATATGATAAAGATTTACCATCCTTACCACTTCCCAAATTAAAAGATACTATGGAAAGATACTTTCAATCTTTAAAACCATTTGGAAATAATAAAGAATTAAATGAAGTACAAAAACGAATTGCAGATTTTCAAAATGGAATTGGAAAAGATCTTCATTTTGAACTTGAAAAAAGATCTAAAATTCGTAAAAATTGGTTAGAAGGATGGTGGGAAGATTATGCTTATCATTTATTACGAATACCTTTATATCCATATACAGTTATGGGAATGCCATTTTTATTTGAAGCGGTTTCAGTTCCAGAAACACATAAAGATTCATTACGTGTATTAGCTAGAGTATCCTATTATTCATTACAATTTTGGGATATAATAAGAAGGGAAAAGTTACGACCTGCTTCAACAAACAATGGAGAAGTAAAATATTCTTCGAAACTTTTTAGACACTTTTTTTCAACGGTACGACTTCCAGGTGAAGAACAAGATAAAATAATTTCGTACTTTTTACCAGGTAGGTATTAAAACTGATGTTTTGTTTCTTTTTTTTAACAAAAGTCGAATAAAATTCATTTCTCTGGTTGCAGTTTCTGAAGGTGAAGGTCCTCACAATGGAATCGTTTTGGCAAGGGGGCGAATTTTTAAATTTGATTGCTTGAATGAAGATAAATCTTTATTAACTCCTCAGCAATTGCTTAATATTTTTGAAATTATACGAGCTAGAGTTGATAGCGATGATTTGGGAGATTGTGTTCCAGTTTTAACAGCCGATAATCGTACAAACTGGGCAAAAAATCGAGATTATTTACATGAACTTTCTTCCGAAAATGTTGAAATTATAAAAGAGATTGAGAAAAGCATATTAACAGTAACGTTTGATGATCATGAACCCAGTGATTATTCTGAGGTATGCACTTTTTCATTAGCAGGAGATTTTCACTCCAAATGGTGTGATAAAACAAGTGGTATATTATTTTTTAGAAATGGTCGAATGGGGGGTGTAGGAGAGGTAGGATTCGTTTTTAAATATTTTAAATAAATTTTCATTTCGTGAACTTCTAGCACTCGGCTTATGACGGAACAATTAGTATAACTTATGATATCTTCGTTTCACTAAGTTTATTAGAATTTCCTGAGCCAAATTGGGACGAAAGACCTGGATTACTGCCACAATTAGAAGAGCTACATTTTGTATTGGATGATCACATTAAGAGCGAAATTGAAAGAATGATGAAAGATTGTGAAGAAAGGGTAAATAACCGCAGCCATCTATCTGCCAAAAATATAATAGATCACTAAAACTTTAATTTTTTTTTAGAAAAATGATATTCTTGTATCTTTTGATGTTTTCCATAAATTTGGAAAAGAGTATTTAAAAACTGTTCGAATACATCCAGATGCATTTTTTCAAACAATATTGCAATTAGTTTATTATAAGTTACATAATGAATTTGCTCCAACATATGAAACGGCTTTAATGAGACATTATTATAATGGACGAACTGAAACTCTTCGTTCATGTACTACAAAAGTAACAGAATTTATAAAATCTGCTGTAAATATTAAGTCTACAAAAATGGAAATTTTTGAAAAACTTAAAATTGCATGCGAACATCACATGTGGTTAATGGAAGAGGCACGTAAAGGAAATGGAATTGATAGGCATTTGTTTGGATTATGGTGTATAGCGTACGAAAAAGGAATCGACATTCCAGATTTTTATTCTGATCCAATGTATTTAAAAAGTGGAGGAGGTGGAAATTTTGTATTATCTACAAGTACATTAGGTTATACAGCATGCCTTGGATATGTTGCTCCGATGGTTATTGATGGATACGGTGTATTTTATAGTTTTACAAATGAATCGTAAGTATTTTGTCTGCCCCTTATTTATGAATCTAAAATAAAAATTTAATTTTTTCTTTAAACATATATTTAGGATGCAAGTAGCAACTTCAGTTTATTCATCGAGTAAAAAGACAAGTGCTAAAAAATTTAATGATATGCTTTTTGATACATTCACGGAAATCAAAGAAATTATAGACGAGATTATACCAAGCATTTCGAAATTATAGTTTTATTCCAATTAAGTTTTAAAATTTTTATTTAATATAACATTCTTTTATTTTACTATAACTTTTGATGATTGTATTGTAAGGTTTTTCTTATTATTATGTAAAATTGTTGAAAGTAAAGTGGTGTACGGTCCCACATTAAAAATGTAAAACCTAGAATAAAATTTAATGTTAAAGTGCTTTATTTTAAAGTTTTTACGTGTATTTACATGTCTATTGAAAATGTTTAATAACGTTAAGTAAAAAATTATTTTTGAATATACATACATAATTATTTTGTTTAAATTTATAGAATTTTAATAGAGCACTGGGATAAAAAAGTAAACTGGTACTGTTCTTGTCCTATTATAAATTCAGTTTCCTCAATTTTAAGACAAGATTTAAATTTAAGATATACATGTTATACTAAAACATAAAACAACTTTGCAATTACCTTACGTGAATCGACTTGAATTGCTAATTGAAGGAACAAATTACGAATTTCAAAAATATAAAAACATAGTCAAACGGGCCAACTAAGATTTAATCAATATTATTTAAATATAATACGGGAATCAAAAATTTGAGCAGTTTTGTACCCGTAAGATTATAATTTGCGTATGTCTAGGAAGTCTAAATTAAATTTTAAATTAATAGACTACTACACCATAACAATTATACAATATTTTATACAATTTTCTTTTTTAAATTTTAATTTTAGAATTTGTATATTTTTTTTTATATAATTGAATATGCCAATATTTGTGCAAAATTATACATATTTAACGCCAACATTTAAAACAATAGAAAAATTTTGTCGTCTTTTATGAAAATTTTTGGCAAAGAAAAATTATATGTAAATTTTCATTTTTAATTTTATATTTACTTTGGCCCCATAATATGTAAAAATTTTTTTCTATTCCTACAGTGAATTATATTTATGGTGTGCCAATATGGAGTCTACATAAAAGAAAATAAAAAAAATTGTATGTATGTATATACAATAGAAAGTAAAATTAATATTACTTTAAAAAAGATTAAAGTAGAACAAGACTGTTGTCATCAGTTGTGCTTTAAAATTATTGTTTTTAATTTTGTTCATTAAATATTTTTATCAAATTTATGTGCTTATGATAAAAATGTATTTATTATGAAAATGTATTACAAATTATAAAATTTTACAAATTTTAGGTATTGTAGTCACATATGTATATCTTAAATCATATAATAGATGACTCTAAAATATTGTTTTATTGGGTTCCAAAAATATTTATTATTGGAACACAATAATAATCAAAATATTATACATGAATCCATAAAAGAAAACAAGCAATTATTCAAATATAAATTCTAAGTTCTTTAAAGAAAAATGTGATTTAAAAATAAGTTGGGGAATATTTTCAAAGCAAAGCTATTTATTTCCAGTTCGATCAGCTTTTTTTCAATTTTGCGTCTGGAAATTGTTAATTTTCAGATTTACTTTTTAGAATTATGGTGGGAAATATTTGTAGTTTATGTGTAGGTACTACTTAATTCTTTTTCGACTGCCTAAAGGAAAAAGTATCTAGTGTGCTTAAAACTTCTATATGAACTCAAAATAAAATTGAAAATGAATTGGGAAAATAGAATCTTAATAGAATCGTAATTTCATATAGAATTACAATAGTAGGTACAATAAGAACATTGTTCGTATTTCTTTCTTCAATAATTAATAATTCTTTCTATTAGTGCAATTATTATAAAATTTTTATCTTAAAAATAAGAAATTATATTTGAAAATAACATTTGAATCCTCATACGAAATTCATATCTAATAAAAAATAGAATTTCATTATTGGCATTTATTGCAATATTTTTTATTTAATATTAAAATTTACTTCATGTATAATAATCGATACCAAGTTTGCTTTACCAGTATTGTACTTTCAAGAAGATTATTGCAAATTTGAATAGTAGTATATTCATTAGATGGACTTTCATTAAATCGGATTTGTAAAAACTACTAAATTATAATAAAATTTGAAATAATTTTCGATTCACCACACCAGAGGTTCCCAAACTTTTCTACCTCGTAGACCCCTTGTCGTGTTTTTGAATTTTTGATAATTCACTTATATTTTAAGTCTTAATGTAAAGCACGTTCGATAAATAAAACCGCATGACCAAAAATGACAAAATGTGCTTAAAGTTCGGAAACATAAATCTAAAAGTTGTCTTATAGCTATTGGAAAATATTATAACTTAGAAGAAAAGCATATTAGAAAGATGTTGAATATTGAAGTATTACTTGAGTATGCTACAAATTTGAAAAAAAAGGTTCAATTTCTGCAGATTTGTAAATACATATTAAAAAAGATACTTAAGATTTAATATAGAACTTTCAGTGCATGTCTGAATTATCGAAAATGCCCAAGATAAAATCCTTATTTTAAATAAATCTGAAGGTTTGTACTAATGCCATTTTATATTAAAAATTAATATATTTTTATTACGAAATTTTAATAAGATTTTAAAGTAAGATTTTAACCATCATTTATTAATAATTTTAAATAACAATATAGAAAGTAATAAAGAGCATTAAACAAACAACTTTACCATGTATAGAAAAAGAAATTTTAATAAATTCCATTGCACCTACTCTTCTATTAAAAACCATAAAATGCATACAATCACACACTTACCCAAAAAAAATATTTTAGAGTTTTACAATAAAGTAGAATAAAAAATTTAACAACAAAAGTATTGTATTTTATGAGCTCAACGAAAAAAAAAAAACTTTTATACTCTTGAATGCTTGCAGGACTTCTAAACAGGACTACTAAAGTTGATAGCACTAATGTTAACTGTATATTCATAATGATAGAATATTGTGTGTAGGTACCTCTATGTTCCAAGATTAACATGCATATAAAAGTTATAGTGTATAGAGATGAAAAAATGGGAGGAGAGAAAAAAAATTAAAAATTTAATGATGAACGCTATTTTATAGTCTTTAGTGAATAATATACATTTATGTATCCATGGGTAAGTAAGTGACGACTTAACCAGCACAATAATAATAAAAATCCAAAAACAAAAAGTGTGTACATGAAAATTCTTATAAGAATTTTCAAAGAAAGTAAACTAAAAAGGGGAAAAAGAAAATTACGAGGCTTTGAAGTAAAAAAAAAATTGAAAATAATAATAAATGCATAAAAAATAAAAAAAAAATATCAACCTGAAAATTTATATGAATTTTTATAAATTGAAAAAAATTACTTACCTACAAACTTATCTGACTTGCACCGGTTGTCCTGGTTTTATTGATATTTTTCGATTTTTTAATTATTAAAACAGAAACTGGAGCTGCTTTCAATTTCTGTTGTATAAATCCTGTTCCTCGTTCTGTTCAACACTTAATAGAATAAAGCTTAATTTCTGAAAAAGGGGGGGTTGGAAATTTTCTTTATTTTAAACTATTTGAAAAAAAAATGGAGAATCAGAAAGACCGTGATTTCAATAATGCTTTATAAAAAGTTTAAGTACGGTATTAATACGATTGTGTAGTACCGTGCCAGAGCTTTTAATCCCTTTACATTGTAAAAAAAACTGCAATATTAATACATACTTGATTGAAAATTTCAATTTAAAGTTATGTGCAAATGTTAATTTTTAATAAACGTTACTACTTCATTAAAAACATAGCACTTTTATGCTGCATTTTAGGAAAAAACTTAATGACTAGCACTTTATTATTGAAAATATATACTAGTTTATTTAATGGGTTATTTTAAGCGACATTTATACGACTTCATAAAAACGAAGTCACAGAAACTCTTAATATTATATTTAAAAAATATTTTTAAATGTAGATTTAGTTAGCCAAACGCTGGATATGGCTGTTTTCAATGTTTAGATATTACACTGATTCCTCGATATTCGACGCCTTTTAATACGAGTTACGACATTTCGAGTTATAACATTTCAAGTTCAATTTAAGAAATTTTTTTTATTCCCCCTTTTACGACCATTCGACACACGACCTATAGCGTATATCGAATCTTTAACTTCGTAATGCTTGTAAAAAAGCTTTTAAATCGACAAGAAATTCATCCCTAATTTAAAATTATGTGAACATTTTACAGAAATCTGGTAATTCCTGACTTTCATATTTAAGCCCATCCTGCAATAAAGTATAGAATATTAGTTTATAAACCAGATTTTTAAATAAATGTCCCAAAACACTGAGACACCCTTTCTGTAATAAAAGGAAAATTATTTTGTAAAAGAAAAACACTTAAAATGGGTTTGAAAAGGACACTTATATTCAGTGTTAAGGATAAGGAACACTGTAAATGATTTGCTTATGAACAAATTTTTTTTTTGTATTTTTTCTACTCTTTCTATACAGTAATAATGAATGCATATTTATATGCACATGTATACACGTAAATTTATAATATTCTGAAGATAATATAGATGATAAAGATTCTCATAACACTATGTGATTGTACATTAGGATATGCAAGTATGTATGTATGTATAGGTATGCGTTGATCATAAGGATGTTGATAATGATGATTTTGTAATAATGATGAAAATAATGTTGGTGAAGAAACACAATGACTTTAACTCTGTTTTTCTCACTTTTAAGTTTATAAATTTTTTTTGTGTTTTTTTTTTATTGTTTGGTTGTATATTATTTTCCATATTTTTTAAGGACTTTCAAAGGAGATAATTTAATACTTATCTAAAGTAATGTTGCATGTCAAACCATTTTTATGAAGCTTTTTCTCGAATTTTTATAATTTTTTTTTGCTAAAATATTTTCTTATTTTATTATTGTTGTTTTTTTTTTTGAAAAATATTAAAATGTCCTTTGAGATTCTTTTATTTTGTTTTTGTGTTTTTATTTTAATTTTCCGTTATTATTATTTTATAGTCTTATATAGTAAAAAAGAAAAGTATAAATAACGCGCGGGATTAAGATTTAAATTTTATGTTAAGAATAATGCGTAAAAAAAAAATTATTTTGAAATTTTAATTTTCGATTTTGCCAAAATTTGATAAATTGAGATATTGTAATTAAAATGTTACTTTAAATAATATCCCATTTAATCGTCTTATAAGTAAGACTTCTTTGTTGAAAGAGTAAATTTTTAATATATACAGGGTGTCTCGCATCATAGTGCACTGCTATATGCCATTGTATAGGCCATCATGAGTATAAACAAAACTTTTGTATGGAGACCATACTCACATCTAAACAAGTTACAAAGGCTTAAAATTAATTTTGGCTGATTTTTTTACTTTTTGAAACTTTAAATATAACTCCGCGCCTGTGTAAGACAGGCGCATTATTAAATCCGATTTGGAAACCTCAAAATGAGGGTCTTCTTATACGAAAGAATCAAAAAATTATAAAGACTTTGTGAAATTTCGCTCATAAAGAGAGTGGAAACGCGTTGTTAAACTATTTTGCTTACAGTGGTGCAATTCTTTTATCTTATACGAATTAATTTAACTCATTCACGAACATAGACGAGTGTACTCGCCTTAATAGAATAAGCTTTTGGCTCGTTGCCAAAAATCATGACGAGAATACTAGTCAAGTATTATAGGAATTTCAATTGTAAGAATGTCCTGAGTGACTCATTAGAAGTTAAAATCATGATGAGTAAATTCGTTTAGTTTTCTTGTAAATCTGCTGAGCGTGAAAATAAGTGTGCCGTTAAGTAGATCGATAAAAATAGTTGTTGTTAATAGAAAGATTTTTTTATAAAAACGGCTATACTCGTTGTGTCATGCGTTTTGCGTTTACTTTGATATATAT